TCTATAGAAGGCTCACAGTTTTTTAAGAGAATTATATTGATGAAGATACATCAGTCAACTAAAAGTGACAGAGGCAGTTCAAAATGAAAAGAGGTTTCTAGGCCCCCAACTCTCTTACAGGTCTTTCCTTCATAGTTGTCCTTTTCTTAACCCCTCCCCTGAAAACAAAAAGATTGCTGTATCAATTATCTATTGCTATGTAACAAACTTAATGGCTTAAAACAATGATTTTTTAAATTTCTCATGTTTCTGTGGATTGACTGGTTGTTCTTCCACTTTAAATCAGGTCAGCTGGAATAACTCATTTGGCTGCATTCAGATGGTGGCTACACAGAGCTAGAAGTTTCAAGGAAAATGTTCTCGCTTGCCTGGGGCCTTGATGCTATTAACTAGAGAATCTCATTTCTTCCCTCTGTGGCCTTTCTCTCCATTTGGCATCTCTAGAGACTCTCCACATGGTCCCTCTCTCCAGCAAGATAGCCTGGAATTTTAACATGATGGTTCAGGAATCCAAGAGCATAAAAGCAGAAACTGTCAGGCCTTATTTTCACCACCTTTTATTGGTAAAAGTCAGTTATAAAGCCAGCCCAGATTAAAACGGAAGGGAAATAGACTTCACCTTTGAAGGGAAAAGTGGTATGCTTGTACAGGGAGGAGAGAAATTGGGGGGGTGGGGGAGAAATCTTTGAAGACTATCACAGTTCACCCTCTGGCCACAATTCTTGTCCCACCCATACACAAAATATACTCATGATGAGACTGTACTCTAAAAGTCTCATCTCATTATGGCATATGTTTACCTTCAGTATTATATCTTCTAAATCAGGTTCAGGTATAGATAAAACTCCTCAGGTATTGTTTCTCAGGTGTAGCTACTTGGGAGCAGCTTTGCTCAGCTCAGTCCACTTTCCTAGGATAAAAAAAGCACACAGACACTCCCAAAAAGAGGGTCTTGGAAATAAGAAACAAAACTAAAATTGTTGTCAGGGCCACTACATTAAAGGCAAGGGATGGCCTTGATTGTGGTTCAAGAGTTCATCTCTCTGGTGGTGATTTCCTAATCCATCACTCATCTTGCTTTTTGGCTCCTCCCTCTGGGATTCTGGCTCCACCCCCAGTCATTCTTCCTTTTCCATAAGAAAAGACACATGCTGGGGTGGAAATATTTCCTCTAAATTCTTTAAAATCGAACAGGTCTTTTCTCGCTCATTTCTCTTGTACATTATTACCAGATAGAAAAAGCGAATTGGCACTTTGACCACTCTGCCTGGAAATCTCCTTAAGAGATCTATAAACTCATGAGGTTCATTTTCCATCTTCTGTGTTATAGAGGCAAAAGTATTGCCAAGCATTTTGTTACTGCATAACATTCTTCTGCATTTAATAATTTCCTTACTGCCTTTCCACCCTTTACTTAGAATTTGTTCACTATTCTTCAAGCCTTGGCTAATAGCCTCATAACCACTGGTATTATTTTTCTCATTTCTGTAACAAATCACCACAAACTTAGCAGTTGTAAGCAATACAAATTTATTACTATTTAGTTCTGTAGGTTAGAAGTCCAACACCGATCTCACAGGAGTAAAATCAAGATGTTGGCTGAACTGTATTCCTTTCTAGAGTCTCTAGAGGGGAATCTGTTTCCTGGCCTGTTCCAGCTTCTAGAGGCCACCCACATTCCTTGGCTTGTGGTTCCTTTTATCCATCTGCAAAGCCAGCAACAGTGGATCAAGTCCTCATTTCTCATCACTCTCACCTCCTCTTATGTATCCTTCTTCCACTTTAAGGATCCTTCTGCTTATATTGGGCCAACCTGAATAACCCAGGATACTCTCCACATCTCAAGATCCTTACTTATTTGCAAAGATTTTTTTACCATGTAAGGCAACATATTCATAGGTTTTGAGGGTTAGGATGTGGGCATCTCTGTGGGCCATTATTCTGCCTACACACTGCCCTAACAGTCCTTTTGTCACTCTTTCAACCCCAATACCTGCCACCTAGTGCTAGCCAATACCACATTTAGCTTTTTGTTGTGGCATTTAATACCCCACTCCAGATACCAATTTCTGTTGTCTACTGCTGAATAATAAATCACCCCAACATGAAGTGTTTTAAGATAATTATTTCTCACAATTGTTTAACTGCTTAGAGTTTTTGCTACCCTTGTGTGCTAGCGTCACTTCTGCAGCTGCATTCAGCTGACCTCAATCAGTCACCAGATGTAGGAAGGGCTCGACCTCAAGCAAAGTAGCTCTCTGCAGTTGAGGAAGACTCAAGAAGCTGACATCAGCTGACCTCAATCAGTCACCAGATGTAGGAAGGGCTCGACCTCAAGCAAAGTAGCTCTCTGCAGTTGAGGAAGACTCAAGAAGCTGACAGCTGGGGGTTGCCGACTTCATTCCTTGCAGCTGGGCAGCAAGTCCTTTCTTGAATCTGGGCAGCATATCTCTTTGCTTACGATTCACCCCATGCTCCGCCCCAGATCTATTTCTTCATGCATGTGTAGGCTCCAATAGGACCGAAGGGGCCTCTTTTCCTGAGGGAAACTTCAAATATGGAGGTTTTTTTCAGGCTGGGGAATAGTCAATGCTCATCATCTCCTCACTCCTTCTATCAACTCTAGATTGCCCCCATCCTCCACTATCGCCTCCACGGCCGTCAGTAGCTTACCTGGTGGTGTAACCCAGACCCTCATTCCGAGGGACCTGAGTTTCTGCCATCATGTATTTTTCAGGGTGGGGTTGCTATACCTGTTCATTATTCACACTTTGGCAAGTGTATCACTTGGGCTCCACACTATCCTGCCCCAATTGTGTAACAGGATCACTGCCTTTCCCAAAGACCACAGTCAGTTATCCCTGGCAAGACAGCGATCCTTTACTTGCCTGATCTCCAGACACAGGGAGTCCAAAGTACCCAGGTGGCAGCTGCAGCTTATATTTTGATTATATTCTTATTCCAGGACAACTAACAGTTCAGTCACTCATACTATTGTTTTGAATGAGCTTTGTAAGCGACCAAGGAAGCCCTCTTTCTGTAGAGTATCAGTGGCACTTAGCCCCCCAATTCTGTTATTCTTAAATCTACTAGTTTCTTCATGAACCTGAAATACCACTTACTGTACCCACTAGTTTTTCTTCCATAGATAAGTCCTCTCATTTCACAACTAGTAAAAGTCATCACCTTGAACTAGGGGTTCCTTGTTTCATGTGCTACACGTGATGGAAACCCCATCGGCAGCTCAGACCACTCCTGGTATCAACTGTCACAGGTTGGGTTCTCTGAAAGATCCTGAGATGGAGTTTGGGTTGCAAGATGTTTATTAGAGAACAACACCTGTCAAGGAGAGGAGAAAGCAGGATTGGGCAGAGGAAGAAGTCAAGATGCAACAGAGGAATCTCCGAAGTGAGTTATGCCTGACATAATGTGAATTAGCCTGAAATGGCAAGGCCTTTAAATCCCCAGGTGCTCAGTCCTCAAATCTAGGGAGGAATGATGGCCAGTGAAGTGTTTTCAACAGCTGCTGCAGATGAAGTGCTGATAGCTAGATTTCTCTTCTCCAAATGCCCTGAAGCTAATCAAGTCTTTCTTAGAAAGCAGATCAAGGCAGCACGTCTCCATGTCTACCACAGTGTCTAATCCATTTGCAAATCATATTTAACTCTACTTTAGAAATGTATCCAGGATCTGACCATTTCTCACCACTCTCCTTACCACTCCTCTCCTATTAGGATGGTTCTTGTCCAAGCAAATGGACAAGATGGACCATTGGAATAGTACTCTAATTGATCTTCCTACTTTACTCCTTACCCTCTTACAGTCTATGTTTCACAAAGGATCCAGGATAATCCTTGTAAAATATAATTCAAATCTTGTCACTCCTTTGTTTAAATTCTTCAATGGCTTCCTATGTCACTCAGAGTAAAATCCAAAATCCTACCATGATCTCCAAAGCACTAAAGATGTGCCTCTGTATCCCCACTGCACTGTTTTCTTCTAACACTTTTTCCCTCCCAAACATTGGTCCAGTTAAACTGGCCTCCTTGCTATTTCTCAAACATGCCAAATATGTTGCTGCCTCAGGACCATTATACATATTTGTTCTCTTTCATTAGAATGATAGTGTCTTAGTTATTTGCGTGGCTCACGTTCTCTTTTCTCAGGTCTCTGCTCCATTTTGCCTTATCAAAGAGGCTTTTCCAAGCAGAAAATTATTTTCACTTAAAGTACTGACACCGTTACTCCATTGTCTTCTAGTTTCCAATGTTGTTTTTGAGAAGCCTTCTGACATCCTGATTCTTGGTCTTTATGTGACCTGTTTCTTCTCTTTGAAAACTTTGGTTATTTTCTCTCTGTGGTACTCTGAATTCTCTTGATGATAAGCCTCAGTTTATGCTTTTTTTTTTTCATCTTGAAGACCTGTATCACTCAATTTTAGGACATATGACCCAGTTTAGCAAACATCGTACCCAGTGATTGATTCAGGGATGAGCACATGACCCAGCATCCTTTTTGATAAGGGGTATGGATGCTGTAGGAAATATGGCAGGACCCCATGATTGCTAGCAATTTCTCCCTAAGAAAGGTACCAGACAGATGTAAAAAGCAACAAATGTCCATCACAGGCAGTGTGGACTTAAAGAAATAGCCCTAGGGACTGGAGCTCCAATTCTAGTTCTGCCTATGAACCTCAAGCAAATTTTCAGCAAGGAGATTCTGATCCCATCTACCTCCAAACATGGTAGTAAGCATAGGTGGAAAGATATGAAGATCTCTAAACAAATACCTAAATGTTTCTAATTGCATAGATATAAATATAATACATTATGTTATAGTAATAAAACTGAGATATGCCAAACTTGAGCAAATAACTTCTGAAACTAATTTTTCATTCAACACTATCTCTGAAAATCCCCTTAGAAATAACTCCCTTTTAAAATACATGAGGTAAAACGAACGAAGCCTTATTTTTCCAAGCCGTCTTACAGACATTACACATGAGTGTTTCCTATGAATAAACAAAGCACAATTACAAGTTTATTGATTTTAGCAAAATAAAATGACATAAGTGGCTTCTTAAAACCTAATGAGTAAGTTTTCTTGTTTCCTTGTCTCCAGAGCACTTGGCATTCTTTATCAGCTGGTACATAAAAGAGTAGAAAAATAAAAGATTGTCATATTGTCCTTTGTACTTCTCTTTTAATACATCAGTATGGTAGTCCACCAGAAAGTAGTAAATGGCTTCGATTGTGGAAAGGAAGGTGTCTGGCTTCCCTTTCTGATGGCGCCAAAAGCAAGTTTTTCTTGTTTTCAACTCAACTTGTAACAACCCTGCCAAAAACAAACAAGAAAAGTATAAATATTTCTTCTTAACCACAGGGTGTGGTACAATAATGATGATTTCTTTTAATTAAGGATTTTTTTAAAAAGAGCATAAACTCCCACAATCCCCATTTAAAATATTTTCTTAAATGCATCACGGTAAATACAGAAGCAATATAAAACAGAATGAACTCTTATATATGACAGTTACCTGTAAGTCTTGGACCTTCTATCAATGGGTGAAAAGTTGTTACCATTTAAGAGATTGATCTCTTTCTATCTTCTACCTATCACTGTCTTTTTTTATTTTAACCCATGACAGGAAATTCACCAATTTTCAGAAGGGTTTCATTTCCTTGATAAACTGACACTGAAAACATTGTTCTGAAACTCACTAAGAGCGATAGGAAGATTAATGGTCTTTAATACTGTTTACTTCTAGATTATCACTTTCTGGCTCTGTATTTATGAACAGAGTATCTAGAGCTGTTTCACTAGCTCTGTCACATCTGTGTTGCAGAGCCTCAATGACACAGTTAAATGCCTTGCTCCTGTACATGTAAGAGGAAACAATTCGTGAAACCATAGAACGGTACTCTCACCTTTTATAACTGAGATGTCAACATACAAACCCAGAATGCTTTTAGCACCTTAGACCAATACCTGGACACATATTATATTGGGTTGTCAGAAAAGTCATGATGCATTTTTGCAACAAAAAACACAGAAAAAATATGTCATGACTTTTCCAACAACCCAATATTTATTTTGCTATACTTTTTAAAGCGTCTTTTATTTTAAAGTGAGAAATAAAAGGGAAAAGGTAGTATCAAAATTGGCCCACTAACCCAGGTGAGGAACCCTGAGTCATCAATGATTTCCTACTATCATGCTTCACTTTAGCCTAAATGCGACCTTGGAAATGTAGCAGAGAATGACAAGAAGTAAATACTAGAAAAAGAATTAAGCAATATAGAGGATCAAATGTCTAACAGAAGTCCCAGAGGAGAGAATAAAGAAAATGGAAAAAGATAACATTTAAAGAGATAATACCTATGACTTTTTCAAAAACTATTTTAAAAAATGCAAAGCCACAGATACATAAAATCATGTATTTCAAGCAGGATAAATACAAATAAATCAGTGCCTAGGTCCATTACATAGGAGTGTAACTGCAAAAGAGCAAAGATAAAGAGAAGATTTTAAAAGTAACCACTGAGAATGGGCAGATCACATAAAAAGGAACAGAAATCAGAATGACAGGAAACTTCTCATTAGCAACAATAGAGTATTGAAGACACTGTAATAAAGTGTCTTCACAGTGTCAAGAGAAAATAACTGGCAACCTAAAGTTGGGTACCCAGCAGAACTATACACATCAAGAACAGAGTGAAAAACATTAATAGGTAAACAAAAACTGAACATATGCCAACAAAAAACCCAATGAAAGAACAGAACAAAATAATGAAGAAAACAATAACATTGTGAACTAGGAGAGGGTATTGAGTGAAGTTTAAGTGCATTAAGTCCTTAGAGTGTTCAAAAGGAGAGGTTAAAATAATGTTTGAATTTGAATTTTTTTAAGTTACATGTGCAAAGTATAATTCTCTAAAAGAACCAAACTATACTCAGTGTGTCAGTGAATGCTGTGTCATATATGAGATCTGCCAATTAGAAATAACTCAAGTGACTCATCAACAGGAGACTGGATAAACTGTAGTATATTCACACAGTCAGATATTATATAGCAGTGAAAATGAATAAATTATAGCTACAGTCATGTAACATGGATAAACCTTAGAAACAAAATGGTGAGTTTAGAATGAAAGTCCCAAGAAAACACACAGATCAAAATAAAGCAAAACTAAATAATACAAAGTTTATGAAAGTACATGTATATAATAAAACTAATCTTAAAAAGCAAAAGAATGATTATGGTCATGTGAATCAGTTCTGGTTAAAGAAAGGAAAAAGGAAATCTCGTAAGGAGAACTCCCAGGAAAGCTATTGGTTGGTTGGTTGGTTGGTTGGTTTAATAAAAGAGTCCAGCTCAGTGGGTATACACATATTGCTCTTTGCCTTGCCTAGAATACATATGGGATGCCTCAGGGACTAGCAGGCATCTTACAAGGGTGAGGATGAAAGTGATGGAGGTGGGAAACAGGAGTCTGAGTCCTTAAAGGCATTGTGAAGTCCCGAACCAGCCCTGGACTACCCTCTGGACTTCGACATGTGAAAAGTAAACTGTTTTAAGATTCTAGCCAAGTTTCTGTTTCCTACAGTTGAACACAACCCTAACTAACAGCCACTGTGATCAACCACAGGGTAGAGATATTGCCTTATTCTCCTTCATATCTGACCTCAAATCTAGGACACTGCCTGTCCAGGAAGAGGTGTTCAACAAATATTGCTGAATGAATGGACAAATCAAAACAGGCATCTGCCTTTAAAGTATTCTATCTAAGTATTTATTAATCCTTTCAAAATGTTGAAATAAACAGATTTCTAGAGTCAGTCTTCTCTACACCTAATATGTTCTAAAATGTTAAATATAAAAATCAAGATTTAATGCTTATCACCACTAATCCATCCTGTTTAAGATTAGCTTAGAAGTATATAGAACCTTTTTACAGACATGAGACTACCTAGACAATATTTATTTTTAAAAAGTCAATATATACACTTAAAAAATTCTCTTGCTAGTATTTCTGTCAGTCAATAACTTTAAGATAAAATATGCAAAAATTTTTAGCAGTAAAACTTTAAAGCAGATAATTATAAATGGCCTTTCCCTCCAAAATTACTGCCTGAATTTCTTTTAATGAAAATCTTGTGCTATCCTCATATAGTTGTTTTGAGGATTGATGAGGTAGTACGAGTTCTGACAATTATGTTTGTGAACTTGTTGCAAAGATGTTGCTAAGCTTTTTTGACATCAGAGTGATTATTCATTATGAATTTGTACCAACTGGACAAACAGTTAAACAAGTTTACTATTTGGAACTGCTGAAAAGGCTGCGTGAAAAAGTTAGACGACCTGAACTTTTTGCCAACAATTCATGGCTCTTGCATCATGACAATGTACCAGCTCACATGGCACTGTCTGTGAGGGAGTTTTTAGCCAGTAAACAAATAACTGTATTGGAACACCCTCCCTACTCACCTGATCTGGCCCCCAATGAGTTCTTTCCTTACCCAAAGGTAAAGAAAATACTGAAAGGAAGACATTTTGATGACATTCAGGACATCAAGGGTAATACCACAACAGCTCTGATGGCCATTCCAGAGAAAGTTCCAAAATTGCTTTGAAGAGTAGACTAGGTGCTGGTGTCGGTGCATAGCTTCCCAAGGGGAGTACTTTCAAGGTGACCATAGTGATATTCAGCAATGAGGCATGTAGCACTTTTTCTAGAGTGAGTTCGTGAACTTAATTGTCAGACCACGTATATGACACACATTCACTGACACACTGAGTACAGTTTAAGAAATGCTAATAATGTGAACAAAGCTGTCACTTTAAACATTGTATCAATATAGTCAAAGTGAAGGGATAGAGCTGGCTAATTTTTGAAACATATTGTGATATAATTGCAGTTTTAATAATGTGGACTTCCTCCCTAACAGAAAGGAACCATCCTTCCCCACCGCATCCCCCCAACTCTTCCTCTGCTGAATCTTCAAGAAAGTGAGGTCATTCTTCACTAGTAGGTTAACAGCAGTAAAACAACCAGAGCTATTTCTCTGTGAAGTCTGGAAAAATGATATGATTTTACATTGTGAAGGGGATTCTTAACATCAGCATTCAGAGTAAGATAACAGAAGCATAATTTCTAATACATTACATTTAAGGGTTTAAATGGAGGTTTAGAGTTGGTTTGTTCAACTTAAATCCCACTGAATAACAAAATGTTTTAAAACCTACAGGCAATGCTCTATAACAAACATTGATTGTTTCTTATGGGGGTAATTTGTCTTATCTAGAAACTAGCATTTCACGTATACTGAGGTTACAAATATGCACAGAGCCCTAAATATTCTGTGTGCAATGAAGAGCCAGACGTAGGACATGCCAAGAAGACTGATTAGAAATCTGTTCATTTCAGGGTTTTGAAATAATTAAGAAATCCTTTATAAAAATGATGATGTAGCCCAGAATTGAAATATATAATACTTTCTAAGTGATCTGGGAAGGAATAACAGAAATTTTTTTGTACAAATCAAATTTTAAGCCTTAAGCACAAATGTGGACACACTGAAAGCAGATTTTGAATTGTCCCTCAATAATTCCTTTTATAGTTTTTTTCACTTATGTTCTTTCATTGGATCTTTTCAATTACCAAATAAGGCAATTATAAAGAAAAACGGCTCGGAAAAATCTTCAAACTGAGGAATACTTTGCTGCTGTAACCATCCAAGGTAATGTGGCAGGCAGTATTCCAAAGAGCAGGGCCTTAGGGCCCTGTCTCTCTATTAAACATCTGCAACAAAGTTCTT